CAGGTTTGCGAAAGGTTTAGGTGTCAGAGGCGCTTTCAGCAATTGTCAAGACGATACACTCGCCGTTTTCCACTTTGTTCGATTTCAAATCAAGTGTCTTGAACACAAACACAGCTCCACCATGCAAAAACATGTTTTTGGCCCTTTGCGCATTTTGGCCCGTGCTGCAAGCTTGCGCTGGCCATGTTGTGCCTGCTTGAGGCAAAGTCAGTTTTTTTTTCACATTCTTGCCGGTCAACTGTCCTCAGAAAGTCCAAGTCAGTCAAGTACATGATAGTGTTGCGTTTTCAATTTCCAAGATTGTTTTTTTTGTGCAACGTTTGGAGATGGGTTGAAAACTGCACATGTTTGGAATGGATTCTGCAGACAGAGGATCAGTTTGGCAGCGTGACATGTGCACTACAAAGCTGACGACGTTCGCCTGGACAAATTTCATAATTTTCAGAAATTCCGATAAAGACCCATTTTGCATCAGGCCTATGTGAAGCGTTGGGCCAGTTCGAGCCTTATCAAGGGAAGGTTTTGAATGTTTTGATCGTTTGTGCACTTGATCCATCGACAGGAAAGACCAGCAACGAATGAAACATGGATGTTTGTTTAGCCTCAAAGATGGACTGAGATTTGTCCCACGACTGATGGGCTTGGAAGATGCTTGAACTGCGAACAGGTGTGACACTTCCGCTATAGCTTTGAGTTGGAATGCCAGAGTCAAGCCTTGGGCAGGTCACAACCAAGATGAATTCTTTCCAGCACTGTGCTTAATGCCTCAATTGAGTACATGTTTGAAGAACTAGAAGGGGTTTAAAACATTCCCTGTGTGGCCATTAACCTTTACAATCGCAGATTTTGATGACACACACACACACACACACGTTGTGCTTTTTAGTCCATATCGTTTCGACTCCAATCGTGAGTGTTGCCAAGTTTGGAAATATGTGTGCGATCATCATTTGCTGTCTGGCAGCTCTTTTGATTAGGCCAGGAACTTAACAATTTTACACAACGTTCTTCATCAGCCTTGCTTCTCAAATTGAACCGCTGTTTATGTCAGCTTTGTTTTTCAAATCAAGCAGCCCTGATGGTTGGTCATCTCAGGCGTGTTGATCATCCGAGAGCCAAAGCACCTTGGCAGTTGAAGATGCATGCAATGTACATTTTGAAACTTTGATGTTTTGGGTAAATTGCTAGTGAGAGCTTTTGAATGTCGTTCTTGAGGTGCCAGAGACCTGGATGAAGAGCCTGCTCTATGAGCTCAAAGAGATTTGTGCCAGCTTGCACAGTTGAAAATTCCCTTTACAGACTAACTGTGTCAAAATTGAAATACACTCGTTGTTTTGCTCGAGCAAAAAAAATATGGGCCAACAGATGCATGACTGATTGTCCGACTGACCCAACGAATGAACAAGCAATTGAATGAATGAATGAATGAATGAATGAAGGAGGGAAGGAAGGAGGGAAGGAAGGAAGGAAGGAAGCAAGCAAGCAAGCAAGCAAGCAAGGAAGGAAGGAAGGAAGGAAGGAATCAATGAACAATACATGTGCATATGTGTCGAGTGTGCAGTGAGCCCTATGTTGCATTTCTTGCCGCCTGCACCAAGGCTAAACTCCAGGACAGCTGGTCGGTGCTTTCACAAGCTGGTGTTGACAAGGCTAAGTTCCAAATCAGCTTTTTGGACAAACCAACTAGTTTGCACGTATCCAGTCCATTGATGCAAAAGTTCAGCCAATTGAAGTGATGCTGATAACGTACTTGTTCAAGTCGTGCATCACTAGCATTTGATTGGAGGGCTACACAACGTTAAGGAATGAAGTCTCGACCAATCAAGGCTCCAGACCCAGTGTTTTCGACAGGTAGGTGCAGCACTGAAGGCCATTCATACAGCTCGATTTGCAGTTGTGTGGCTCAGCAACTTGGGGGACGATGTCCATTTCTAGAAAAGACATACCAAGACCAAGACCTGATTCTTGTGTGCATCAAGTGTAGACATTAGAAGAACATGAATTCGCTCCCAGAGGCAGGACTTGCGCTTGTGAAGGGCACCATCACGGGGTCTGGTGAGTTGCGCACTTTGCTAGCTGCACTGAAATGAAATTTGGCACTTCAGACGGCCTTTAGCATGAGGCCACTCAGATCTTGCAAATGGACAACTTTTTTGTCTGCACCGCACTTACTGGTGCGTGCAAAGCGCGCCTGATGTGCATTTTACAACATACTTCTCAGGCATTCTCCAGAACTGGAAGCCGGGACCTTGGCAAAGGTTTCGAAGATGCATCGCATCGCTAGGGTGCTAGCCAGGGTTTGATTCAATGGCAACTGTGCTGCCCACATGTGTTTTGTCACCTGAGAGGTGAAGCTCAACCAACAGCTGTTCTGGAGGTTGGTAGAGACAGCCAAGTGAAAGCAATATTGCTTGAAAGAAATGAGTAATGCAAAAAGCACAGAATGAATTGTTCACGGACTAGCTTTCGATGTTATCTGAGGTGAATGGTACCCATGCCCACGTTCCAAAGCAAATAGGTGACCAGCAGGTGTTGCAAACTACGGCTTGGTGCTCAAAACCACGCCATCATGCTGAGAGGAACACTTGCAAGTAAACACTTCGGCAGAGGAACCTTTTGCCTCGCAAGACCAGCATTAATTTGACCAAGGCAGGCAAAAGGAAACGAAAAGCAAAGAAGGCTGGCAACTCTGTATGGAGTACAAAGCAAAATACGAGCATTCAAATTCAACAAGTATTTTTGTATTGTAAGCGTAGCATATATATATATATTAATATAGAGTGCAGATTTTACGTATGCACTGAGTGTGGTCTTGGTGTCAGGCCAAAGAAGCCGAAGCAATCCTTGACAAGGACTTCAGCTTGTCGAATTTTCTTGACTTTCGGCGCTTGGTTTTCACTCTTTCGGCTCTCACCTTGCTTTTGTGCGCTGTAGCTTTGGGCCCTTGATTTGGCATTTGGCCCGTCCTTCAAGTGAGATGTCCTCTTTGCGAGTTTTTGGCCGCAGAGCCGCCTTTGTGATGCTGGCGTTTCCGAATCTTGGGATGAAAGACACGATGGAAGCTCTTCACATGAGAGTGGATTTAGGGAGTTTTGTGAACAAACTTCCGAGTTACAATAATGCGATGCATGAAGACCAGGATGTGGCTTGGCGGTCTGAGCTGTGTTTTTTTGTGTTCTGAGCGTGCTGGTCACGGCTGTTCGAACCTTTGTTGAAGTGGACGTGAAGAGAATGTGATTGCACAATGGGCTCGAAGGGGTGAGGTAAAGATTTCTCGAGAAGTTTGGAAAACGAGCTTTTGAGAGACATAGAACAAGTAGAAAGAGAGAGAGAGAGAGAGAGAGTTAAGATTTTCAGAAAAAGAGGGAGCAGAGTAAAGAGACTCCCAAAGGAAAAAGCTCTACTAGAACAGTAGAAAGCAAGTAAGTAGAAAACACATTTGTTGCTTTCGCCAGTGAAGTGGTACATCGTCCCTGCTCGGTGAAGTGGTATATGTTGTCACGCGCCACATCCCTTGCCTTTCCCAGGGGTGTGGGGATTGTACAAAAGCATATCGGGAAGAAACGGCATCGACACCCCAAGGAGAAGTGGATCATCCCGGATGATCCAACACTGTACATTAATACTTGTGAAACACATGCAACTAGTTTAATTGTGTGGCAAGCAAATAGCAAAGAGGTTTCTTTCTATCGGTGGCATGGTAGATGTGTGTAATATATTTATGACTTTGTGCTCTTCACAAGACAACTCGCGGTAGAGTGGTAGCGGTGCAGGAGGAGGTTCAAAGTTTGTAATTCCCTCTATAAGCAGATAGGGGCATTTGTGTGCAAGGGCAAACTAGTTGCACCTTGTTATATATATATATAGAGGTGGGAATGAGTTTGTGCTTCATAAGCTTTTGCAAAGCTTTTAAACTTGCTGAAAGCTTTCTGCCTGCTTCATCAACAATCTTCGCTCTTTGGAAGGAGCTGTACTTCGGGTGATGAGTATTCCCCTTGGGTGTTGGGGTCTTTATGATCAAGACGCACCGGGAAGGGATGTCCCAAATATCAAGAAGGCGACATAATGACATATGACATGGTGAGTTCACACCATGTTATTCCTGGATCATATGGTGCTGTGGTGTCCTGGCCATCGCAGGGTTCGTAGAACTTGGAAAGCAACGCGATGAGTCCATGGCCACAGCGAAAGTACAAAAAGTGTGAATAGTAGGTCCAGGAGAGGGGAAGGCAAGGACTGAAAATCAAGAAACACATTTTTCATAAGGTCAATAGTTCACCTTAGCACCTCTCACTTCCTTGTCCTTGTCATTTTGTAAGGACTGTAGTTCATGCATGGCCTGTGTACGAGTTCTGGTTTGGTACGTGGTCACCGCTGGTGAAGATATTTTTGAGCGAGGTGGCATTTTTTTTCCCATGGGAGAAGAATTCCGGCAACAAGCAGTGCAGAAGTGCAGACACCAAAAAAACTGCGTTTGCAGGACAGTAGTGCTTCGACGGGTTTAATCCCAGACAAACTGACAGCAAATGCTTCCACCACATTGCATGCCTTGCGCACAGGTTCCCCTAGGCAGACAATTTTTGGACATTGACCGTGGCAGAGATTACTCTGTACAAAGATGGTGCAGACTCAATGCTGTGGTTGTTCTGACAGAAAAAGTTGTGCATGTTCTAGCTAAGGAGCTTCACTGCCAGCATTGAGGAGGCGTTCGGCCATCCTTTATTGCAGCATTTTGCGCTTGAAACCTGGCCTTAGGTTGACCATCCTCATTGCTGGCCATGTTTTGCACAATTTTTTCTGGGGTAAATAGAGTTGATGCATCCAAACAAAGATGCAGCCTGGCTTAGTATGTGTATGTATGTATGTATGTATGTATGTATGTATGTATGTATGTATGTGAAGAGGGTGCGTGTCTATTTGCCCAACTTAGAACAAGGAGCCAGGAAACTGACATGTCATGTCAATGTGCAGGTCATTGATTTTGCTTGGCTTGCTCTAAGGATATGAACTACACAAACCTGAACCACGGGTCATACGGAGCGACTCCAATCCCGGTGGTGAAAGCATTGAGAAAATGGCAAGAGGTGATGGAACACAATCCTGACCGCTGGTTTCGTTTTGACGGTTTTTGTCTTAGTCGAAAAGCACAGCCAGTTGCGTGTTGAATGAGAATCGCAGTAGTTTCATACATACAAGCCAAGCAGACATCAAACTTGTCACACTCCAAGGGGAAAAAACACTTATCGGAGCTCTTGACCATGTACGCTCTCGAGTTGCCGAGTACATCCAAGCAGATGCCAGAGATGTCGTTTTTGTTGATGGGGCATCAGGTGGTGTAAATGCCGTTCTGCGCTCTATCAAGCTTCCGCCTCATGCCTCTATTCTTTATTTGAATACAGCCTACCAGATGGTGAAGAATACAATCTTCTACATTAATGGTCAGCAGCAGGAAAGATCTGTGGAGGTAAACATTTCGCTGCCAAGTACTGCTAGTCAAATCTTGGCAGCAGTGAGGCAAGCTTTGGATCAAAACCCTTCTACGCTGCTCGCAAGCTTCAGTCATATTACAAGTATTCCCGCAGTTATTTTACCCGTGAAGGAGCTTGTGCAGATTTGCCACGAAAAGAATGTAATGGTCTTGATAGACGGGGCCCATGCCCTAGGCCAAATTGCACTGAACATTCCAGAAATTGGAGCAGACTTTTACGTGGCCAATGGTCACAAGTGGCTCTTTAGTCCTAAAGGGAGCGCAATTCTATGGGTTGCAAGGCATAGACAGCACTTAATTCATCCCAATGTGATCAATGATGAGGGAAGGGGCTCAAGCTTTTTCCAACTGCAGTTCTCCTACACTGGCACGAAGGACTACAGTGCCTTCTTGGCAATGTCTGCTGCTTTAGATTTTCGTGAGCAGATAGGTGGAGATGCTCAAATCAAGGAGTATGTGTCCAGACTGGCTTTAGAAGGAGGCAAGTACCTTGCGCAGACTCTTGGTACAGAGGGGCCGATGATATCAAGAGGTTTAGCGATGGTGAATGTACCGCTTCCACAGGCTGCGCTCAAGTGCTGCGACATGAACACTGCCAAACGGTTACTCGTCAAACACGGAACATTTGTGCCCATCTACCCCTGGCAGGGACAGTGTTTTGTCCGTGTTAGCGCGCAAGTTTACAACGAGATCTCTGATTTTATGTACCTGGCGAGGACACTGTTGGATGTTCTCAGCAACGACTGTCCTGAAGCTGCTGATTCGGCTTCAGTACAAAACTAGATCAAAGAGGACCAAAGAAGTCCAAATCCATACGGATTCTTGCGCAAAAACAAGAAGTGTATCGAACATATACTTATGTTTTCTTCTTCGCGAGCAACTATTCCTTCGTTGAGGCTGTTCCGTCGCCTTTGGATTTTTCAGTGGGTTTTTTCCTTCAGTGTGTGTTTTCGTTTGTTGTTCCCCCAAGGTAGCGAGAGCTATTGGGCTTCTTACTTCAGGTATAGGAGGGGGTGCCTGTGTGCGCTTTGGAGCCTGGATGGTGATGAGTGGCGCTGCAGAGTGCCGCTGCAGGATGCTGCTGCCAGATGTTTAGTGTGCGCTTTGGAGCCTCTATGCTCGTGTTGTTGCCATGATATCCCTGTCTGTTATCGCAATAGTTTTTCCTGTAGGTGAACCCCGCTTTTATATAAATTTATGGGCCGTTTGTGTTGCAAGGTCCAAGGTCAATGGCAGGAAAATATAACCGGACCAGCCTGGAAACATAGACTCCACACAGGATTTCATAAGCTGACCAAACAGGATTTTATAGGTAAGTTGTGTCTCAGTCACAGGATCTTAGAATGACATGCTTGGACAAAGCAGTTCCTGGACCGATCAACGCCGTTCCAGACTTGCGAGTGAGCTCCAGCATCCGCCGGAAATCATATTTCAGCGTTTTGGAAGAGTCGGTTGCGAAAGGGAAGAAGAAAGAAATAAGGACATACGTAGAAGAAAGACTAAAGACACAAGCACTCTTGACTGTCCTTCAGCCCAAAAAAATATATAAGGACTCCGGTTCGCACTCCAGGGAAATTTGTTGTCTGGCGCCATCCATGATGGTCCTTCACCGCCAGGAACATATAAAGAATTGCGTTTCATGACTCGGAGTGTCGGTACAGGAGTTCACAAACATTTGGAAATTGCATTCCCCAGGTTTTTTTTTGTATAAATCTAGTGGTTGCAAGTCACTGGGACAACCAAGCAAAATCATCCTGTTCACAATACCTTTTGCTTTTTGTGATTTATGCCGACGTATTCTTGCGTGGTATACAGGAGGATGCAACAGCTCAAAAGAATGAGTTCCGAGAAGATTTAGATCGGACAGTAGACCTAACCAGCTTAGTGGGAGCCCTGGATACGTTCACGTCTTGAACAAGTTGCCAAAAGTTGATGTTGGCAAGTATGAGGAGCAGCCACAGCAGATGCTTTGAGGTTTGGGATCGCGTTGGACTTCAAGAGTGCTCGGCGAGAGTTTCAGGAGCCCTGCTCATGCACGTTTGTTTTGTCATGCTGTAAAGCAACACAGCGAATATGCAGTGCCAGGCGACGTCCAACATGGGCGCTGCCTGTTCTCGACATGCTTGCCCAGCTTGCCGGTGCTGCAGGCAAACGACGTGTTTAGTTGTCACAGAAGCAAATTTGGAAGTCAGTTTAGCGATGCTCCAGGAGACTGGATGCACAGGATGCACCAGTGTGGAAGCGGCATGGTTGATGGCCTACACAAGGTCTGTGTGGAGCCCAGTCATGCAACTGTGTAGCTCATTCAGTGGCTGGATCTTGTTTTCAACACTGACATGAATCCATGTTGTCATTTGTCTACAGGGTGAAGGCCCAGACATGGAATTGATTTGATCGCCGCCGCCGCTTGTGCATTTGCGGCTCAATCGAAGGGTGTGGTTCCGGCTTTTAGCTGGAACGCACCTGCAACATGCAGCCTGACGCTTGGATGTGCTTGTTTGATTTTGCACTTTCTTATCAACCAGAAAGCATCCAAAATTCCAGCTTAAATCTGTTTCGTTCCTTTGTGCTACTGTTTGTTGATTGCAGGCTTGGCGCCAAAGTTCTTTCGCCGGTCCCAAACCCTCCACCGCGGTTGCGGGTAGTGCCCTGAGGTTTTGCGACCATAAAACGACTCTACTCAATTTGAAAGCCCTCAGCAGTTGTTGCTAAGTGGATAGTGACAGATAGTGACTGTGCATATGTTCTTACTTTTAATGGCAAGTAGCTTGGCTCTAGATGCTCTACTGTGTTACGTCATGCAACTTGGGAGGCAGACGGTCGACCCACGCCATTTTCTCAGATCGTTGGTGTCAGCAGAGCATTTTAATCAAGCTTTGAGATGTGCAACAACTTGCTGCTGGAGGCTGCGTTCGCAGATGACCACCATGTCAAAAATAGGTGGGCACGGGCAAGTAAGTGTTAGTTGGCAGCTACGATGGTCTGAAAGGAGGCTCTCAAGAGGTGCTGCCGATCCCTTGTCAAGTTTTGACGGTCCATGTAGAATCTGTACAATCTTTCTTTGATTTTCCACGCTCCGAAACAAAGCAGTTGAATGTTGCCTTCAAAAACATGTGGCAGAACACCTAGCTTATAGCTCACAAGCAGCAGTGCAGCAGCCTTTGTCATTTATATACTGTAATTTGTTTTGCACCCAAGTGACATTTACCGGTATTCCCAAGAGCTGCTTTGCGAGGGAAGACATTGAACGTGTTCTTAAAAGCAACTGGACATTACGCAATAATACCAGTAGTACTTCTTTCCTCTAGAGCATTCCAAAGTCATTCTTGCTGGACATAGTACGACAGGACCGACAGGTACATAGTAACTGTATAACATAGTGCGCAAGACTTGGGACTTATCAGAGGTGACACATATAAGCCTGGAATTACCCTGCTTGAGAACATTTTGGCAAGGACTTGAAAAGGTTCAGAAGTTCAGAAGCCAATTTCAAGCATGCGTTTAGTCTGTATTGTGATGCAGTGTTCTTCCCAACAGTTGGGGGAGAACATGGTGGGGGAACGCTTTTACCAGCAAGTTGCTGTACTTGGGTTTGGAGTGCCCAATTGCAGAAAGACGCTTTTTCTCCGATTTTTCTCCAAGAAAAGGACTTCGATTCTCAAGTGGCTCCAGCCCTGAATTTGGAATACCAAAGAAACACAAACACATTAAGAACAACTACTTTTGGTATTTGTTGGCTGCATTTGGCCTGCTTGTTGTTGATCCACATCTGGAGCCCCTGACTTGAGTCAGGTCAAGGTAGGCAGCAGGGACCTGAGTGCTATATACATTTTGAAGTTTGCAGTGTGCAGTATCAAATATGTTACTCTTTGTGGACCTGACATATTTGTAAGGCAGAAATCAACTTGGATTCATCCAACCTTGGTCTTCATCTTAGAGTCTCATGATTTTTGTGTCACGATATACAATTTTTTCTCTCGAGATTCTGATTTGGCCCAGTTGAAAGCCACGCGGTACGTCGTGGAGCATAGATTGTTCTCCTTGTTGACGGCTCTCTTAACTGCCGGGGCCCAATATATCGACCATCAAGGGAGGGTCATTGTGGCTTGGGGGAACAAAGCGCTTGAGTTTGGCCTGCTTGCTTCTCAGATTTATGCTCTCACTGGCGATGATATGCGCCTTATATTTACACACCAGCCTGCAGATCCAGTCAGGACCTTTATTGAGTTGCGGTTCTTGTCCTGTGAGCACTGATCGATATTTGCCGGCAGCCGGCCAGCATCCCAAGGTGTTCGATGGATTGACACTGCTTTGCATCGTCGTCTTTGTTTTAGAGATCCTGCTGTGCATGTTCGCAAAGGACTGCCATCCGTGAACCCAAAGTGCCTATTTGCAATTTTTGTGCCGTGGTTTGCCACACCTTGCGCTCTGCAACACCTTTAGGACGACTACTTCCTTAGCTTTTTCTTCGTCCTTGACATTGTCTCCACGGTGACTTTGGTACAGCCCACTGTTTGATTTGCACCACTATGTCACTACAAACTCATCAAGTGTATTTGCAGGTCATTGACCTGACCTGGGTTAGCGATACCCTTCAAGGGAGTGAAGAGGAGACTCATTGTTTCGAGAATTTTAGCCATGCGTAGCGAGCACAGGAACTGCAGGTTGTACGCTGGACAGGACATGTCAAACGACCGTGTCTCTGGCACTGCCAAGATCGGGACCCGAACCTCCAGAGTAGTCCGAGTGCTGAGGCAGGCACCTTCCCAATTCAACATGAAAAGCCACAAGAAGCAACTTGTGCCCTCAGGCTAATTCGAATCATCAAGCTCTACAAGGCCATCTATGAAGCAAGACAGCTTCAAAAGAAGAAAGAGGCCGAAGCGCATGAAGCAAGAAAGTTGGATTTTGTGTCTGATGTGGCACTTCAATGACAGGCAGCTTTTGCCGAACGCTTGCAGGAGATGGCGAAGCAATCGGCCATGGAGACACAAATTTACCCCGGTAATGAAGACGACGAGGACTCCTATGACGACATGGAGGCTTGCAGTTTGCGTTGTGTAAAGTCAGCGGGCTTGGCATTGACTTATCATTACAGCCGCAATTGACACAAGTAGTTTTGGTCTTGAAAAGAGGGTATCCCGGTCCCAGTTTCTTGTTTTTGATGCCAATGAAAGTGAAACTGTTTCTCAATGGAGAATTGAACTTACAGCACGACATCCTTTTGTGACACCCTGAAGGTCCAGCAGGCAGGCTGCTGTTGTCGCCAACTTCTTCTCATCCAGCTGCTTTGCTTGCCTTGCTGGTTACATGCTCTTCACTGCATACTTGTTTGTCAGGCCAGCATGACGCGAGTCCCTGGCAAAGAAAGCCGGGCCTAGGGCTGAGGAAACTCAGTGACTTGAACAGGCAGATTGATCAATCAACTTGCCGATGAATCCAAGTGCCCGGTGTGTGTTCCCCGAGGTGGGGAAAAAGTTGTCTGAGAAGACGACTCGCCGGGTCATTCTGTTGGTGGTGGCCTTGGGTGAGTCAGTTCTTCTTGCCAGCCAGAGGTTGAGATGACAAGACTCTACTCCTTACATAGTTAGATCATGATCATGCACCTGCCTTGGAAGGTTTTGGTGATGATGTTGGTGCTCCCATACCTGAAGGCGTCCTAAATAGATGAAGAAATGACACTGAAACAAACAATTGATTACATGCCGTGTTGATCCACCGGAGGTTGAAGATGCGCAGCAATTCCCAACCTCAGCTGGGTATGGTGCAGACGTCATCAACGAGGTCTGGCAAACTCATTTTTTCAATTATCAAACCTTTGCTGTGGCATCGTTGGGCTCCAGGCGTTCAACCAATACTTGGAAAGCAACATTCTCAGCTAAATTCTTTCAGCAGATTTGCAAACATTTGGGCCTATATCTTCGGTAGACTCCTGAAGCTCTTCCTGAGGTAACACCACAGAGGACAAAGACAAGTACGACAAAGCGATGCTCCAGTGCTCAACAAAAAGATGTGGTTGCACAAAAAAGAGATTGCTTGGACATTTGCGGGTTGATATGCGTAGCCTCATTCCCACGACATTTGGCAGGTACATCTACTACCACAATTGGTTCACAAAGCAACTTCCGTGCGGACCTCGTTGAAGGTTCAAACTCAGTGGATGTCACAGCACCCTGGAACAGCTTATTCACTATATAACTGTCATGATCCACTCTTATAGGGTGTGGGCAGAGTCCAAGGGCAGAGAGTGTACCTTCGAGAGACCAATCCTTTTATGTATTTGATGCAGATGCCGATGACAACAGTTTGATTTGCGGTGACCTTGGCAGGACGGGATGTCCATTGACAGGCACGGACTGTTCTGCTACCTTCGACTCGCATGTCTTTTGGGCAGTCTCCTTAGATTTTGGACTGCCATTGACACAAAGTCAATGTGGCTTTTTTATTGCTGAACTGGTGATTTTTCAGGTCGGATTCGTGGGCAAGAATCAGTCGGTGCTGCTTGACCGGGCCTCCAAAGCTCGGGCACAGTCCTTGGTTTCCATTGTTTCTTCGAGTCCGGTTTGAAAGGACCGCGTTTGGGCGTCTTCGCTGGGGTTTACTTGAAAGAAATATGTGTCGTTGATATGACTGTAGAGTCTGTAGAGTAGGGGCAGCAATCATGCAAGGTGTCACATACATGACGGCACGGAAGCAGTGAACTTGAGGGCAGTCGAATTGGCAAGGTCGATCCGAATTCTGTGACAGATATGGAGACCTTGGTGACCAACACCATGCAACCTAGTACGGAGGGTGTCTCAGATTTCAGCCACTGCTTGTTTGGAAGTCAGAAGTTTTCACAGCGCAGGGAACCTAAACTGGGGCAGTTGCCATTGGCGCCAGGCCTGGATCTACATCTTTGGGCACATGCCATCGAAGGCGGCTATATAGATTGATGTGTTGGATAATAAGCCCCAGGGCCCAGTGTACTCAATCATCTTTGTTTTTTCATTTCCTAAAAATCTAGGAACCAAACGATTAGTGCGAGAAGCGTGAGCTATCCTGCGTCCAGTGGCTAGTAACTAGTAGGAGTAGCTGGGAACGAACAAGTTTGCCCGTTACTCAATTAAGTAGGCGCCTACTTAATTAAATAAGGGCGGGCTTTCCATGTGTACAGCTCAGTGGACCAAACAGCTGTTCCGCTGGTTGCACTCTGGTACACGACCTGCACATCGTCCCGACAGGTGCAAACAATTCTCAGTCTCAGTGCTCTTCTCAAAGTCTAAGGGTTCGTGTGACATGCCTCAACCGGATCGGTTTTCATTGATGCAAAATTGACATGGTGTGATGCTGCTGAGGCTGGAGCAGGAACTGCCCTTTGACTGGATCGTTGCTGCCTCAAGAATTTTGCCAGACTCTGCAGGATTCGCTCAAGACGGGAATTGAATAAGGCAAGACAGAAAGAGGCGAGGGATATCTCTCTTAGCAGAGACCTTCACTGAGAACTATTGGCAGGCCAGGCCTGCCGCCTTTGAGTTTCGATAATACTTTATTGCAACGTTCAAGAGCCCAAAGTGCAGCAAGTGCAGGTGGACTATGCAGTGCCCTGTCCAGAAGATTTGCGCAGAGCCGTTCAGACCCAAGTTGTTCCTGAGTCACAAGACCTCAGTTGCTGTGTGCAGATATGTATACAGTATATATATATAGCCAATGTCTCCCAAATCGCACATTGCAAAGGAGAGGAAGAAGTATACTCCACGATTAAATGTGGCGTCCTCTGACTTCGAGGACTGTTTGGCAAGTGATGGCCCTGTACTTGGAGTCCTCACTCCAAACACGACTTCTTGGAACACTTACTCAGAAGCTGGGAACTTCAGTACTCCACACCCAAAATCTAGATGTTCTCTTTGAGGCTCATGTTCGGTCATGGCTGTGACAACTCGACTTTAAACGTAATTGAAGTCACGTTCTCTGACCGACCCTGTAACATGGTGACATATCGCTCCCAACGATCGATGACATGGATAACAGGTGGTTGTTCAGGTTTCTTCAGGGGTGATTCACTGAGTTTCCAGAACCCGTCTCTCTAGATGAACAATGGAAACAAGATGAAACTGATGAAGCAAGTCATTTGTAGTCATTTTTATTCTCAGCTGCACACACACAAGCCTTTGTCCTCTAGGCTATAGGTCCAACCTGGACTTCCTTATCAAATCGATACAATCTTTTCGACAGAGTCCTGCTGCAAAATAATACGCTGTCTCGCTTTGTGTCACCCTGTCGCCAGAGGCAGGGATAGGGGTTCAAGTAGACCCCATTCTGACTTCGTATCTTCCACATTGCCACCTGAATTGAATGGCTCGGGCCGCACAATTGTTTTTTTTTTTTGTCAGCAATGTCCAGATTGTCTCCCCATTTTGTATTGTCACAATGTGGTGTCTAAATGAATCATAGGGACTGTTTAGGGTTTGCCCTGTGTCTCAGATTCATAAGCGATCCTTCCTTGGTTCACGATTTATATAGTCAAGTTATGTGCGTAAAGCCTAGTGAAGACCCAAGATGTATATAGACAAAAAAAAGGCATCTTACGCTCGCATAGCACCACAAGAAAGCAGCTTCCAACACATTGCAACTGCCAAACCGCCAGATAGAGAATCAGACCTCAAAAGGAATCAAGTTTGGTGTACTCAGTGCCAAAACTCTTGCAGATGGAGCAGGGCTATCAGCCCATAGGCTTACGTCTTAAATAGTTCCGAAGAAAACATTGCCAATTCAAAGCCTTCCCTGTCAGCCTTTTCTAATCGTCCGGAGAACAAGTTTTTGTCGTCGTTTATTATGATTGTTATTTTTTAAGTAACTTACATGCCATTTGCTTTCTTCATTCTTTTTTCACGGAGGTGTTGTCATGCTTTGATCTGGCATAACTTTGTCTTGCATCTGGACAACTCGACTTTGTACTTGTACCTGTTGTTAGGACATCACAGGTTCACCACATTAAGCCGGCCGTTTCTCTCCCGGCATCACAGCCACCACTGGCATTCACTGTGCATGGTGTGAAGAGCAGACGACATCAGCCGCCATCAATCTTAAGAATGTGCAAGAAACGAGGGAAGCTGTGGGCCCACCAAGCGATGCTCAAGTGTATTGTTTGAACTATATACAGCTAAAAGAAAGCGGTGCCTCCCCTCCAAGCTAAAGTCTAAACATGTCAAGAACTGTGGGAAGAGATGGTCCTCCCAATGCATGTGATTGGAGAAGGAGTTCTGGCCACACATCATATGCCATATGCATCCAGACATGGCTGTGATGACCTACAGAGCTTCCTGCAGGAGTTGCACTTTGCGTTCTACTTTGATTTGCGGCCCTTCGTGAAACAGGAGTCCTTGCTTGCTTCTTAAATGCTGCTAACCGGAGTTCTTGAATGCTTGTAACTTGTTGTGATTGAAGTTTGATGCAAACATTTGTTGCTGAGGTTCAATCTTCTTACAGTTTTATTTGTGTGCATCATGCTGCGCCTGGTGCTCAACGTAATCCTTTACCCAAACATGTTTTTGATTTGATGCTCAACTGCAGTTCTGGCTTCGATTGGCTTCACCAATGATGCAAACCGCTTGGTCTTGTACCCGGTGGAGAACATGATTGCGAAGGCATATGCTGCGATTTGCAAGTTTGAACACTACGATATGTTGTACTGGCCCAGCCTGCAGGTGGAAACTATACGTGCCAACCCTCTGGCAGCCATGAAAGTAGCTGACGAGGACTCGCCCACGTGTGCAGAATGCCCCGGCACCTTACAGCAGCTAGGCCATTTCATTGTTTCCGCAACAGATGCTCTCAGGAGTTCAAAGTCGAAGAGATCAACCGGGCAAAAGCAGCCAAGCAGGACATCCTCAAATTCAGAAGCAGTCTCAGTAGGATGGAGGCCATCGCTAGTAGGATGGAGGCCATCGCTAGTAGGTTGGAGGCCATCGCTAGTAGGTCAGTAGGTTGGAGGCCATCGCTAGTAGGAGGACATCGCTAGTAGGTTGGGCCATCGCTAGTAGGTTGGAGGCCATCGCTAGTAGGATGGAGGCCATCGCTAGTAGGTTGGAGGCCATCGCTAGTAGGTCAGTAGGTTGGAGGCGATCGCTAGTAGGTTGGAGGCCATCGCTAGTAGGTTGGAGGCGATCGCTAGTAGGTTGGAGGCCATCGCTAGTATAGGTTGGAGGCGATCGCTAGTAGGTTGGAGGCCATCGCAGGCCATC